CAAAAAACTATATATTATATAGATATACACACAGTGTACGTTTTAAACAAACAATTTAATACTATTCACAGCTATGATGATTGTGAAGCTTGGTTGAGGTGGTGAAGTTAGAGGGTGAAAGAGGGAGGGATATTTCCCAGGGAATGCCTTGCTGCTAAATGATGAACTAGCACTCGGCTGAGCCCTCAAGGGTTAACAAATTGTTGTTAATGTAGCCTCTCATCAAGGCAGCACGAACAGGAGGGAAGGGAGACAGCATAGCAGACAGAGACAGACACACACCTTGTGTGTGGGAGAGAGAGAAAGATACACACTGCCCCTTTAAGTAAGTAAGTTGACCCACTCTTAAGTGCATTGTCTTTTTAAGTGGATCAGGAAGTTGAGACAGCAGCTGCTGCCCCAAGCTCTCTCTGTCTCTCTCCGTCCGTGTCCCCTCCCTGCTCTATATGGAGAAGGGGTAAGCGGGGTGCAAGAGCAGGGGGGAGGAGAACACCCTGACAATAGCCCCCCTTCTTCCCTCCCTGCACAGAAAGCAGGAGTCTCTGGGATCAGTTCCAAGGCAGAGGGCAGGAGCAGCACATGGCAGTGGGGGAAGGCACAGCTGAACTGCCGCTTGATAGCCTGCTGGGCGGCTGCAGCACAGGGAACTTAGGGGAGCTGGGAGTGATAGGGGGGCTGCCGGTCCACCCTGGTTACAAGCCCCCACCAGCTAGCTGCAATGGGCTGCTCTTCCTGCAAGCAGTGGACAAAGCAGGCGGCTGCCAAACGACGTTAGAAGGGAGCATTGCACAACTTTAAACGAGCATGTTCCCTAATTGATCAACAATGTAACAATGAAACAACATTAATCGGGACGACTTTAAGTGATCTTCTAAGTGATCCATTTTTAGAAGCAATTACCTCACTCACACATGCTCAGTATCAACCATTACTTCAGAGTTCTCATTGACAGCTCTGATCTTTAAAATAAGTTGTGACCAGTATGATTGGGCTCTGACCAGCTAGCTGCTCAGTTAACTGACCCCTCTGTCACCCCTTACTGCACATGCTCAGTAGCCACTAATCTTGCACATCTCTCTGTTGTCATTTACCTCAGAGATGTGATTCTGCTGATCCACACACACATATACTTGGCCCTTTGGCACCATTTTAGACATTCTAGGTTTTCACTGAGTATGCTAAGGGTCTGTAGTGTCCATCTGACTTATGAGGAGAGGCTGAGGGAACTGGGATTGTTTAGTCTGCAGAAAAGAAGAATGAGGGGGGATTTGATAGCAGCCTTCAACTACCTGAAAGGGGGTTTCAAAGAGGATGGATCAACTGTTCTCAGTGGTAGCAGATGACAGAACAAGGAATAATGGTCTCAAGTTGCAGTGGGGGAGATCTAGGCTGGATATTAGGAAAAACTTTTTCACTAGGAGGGTGGTGAAGCACTGGAATGGGTTACCTAGGGAGGTGGTGGAATCTCCTTCCTTAGAGGTTTTTAAGGTCAGGCTTGACAAAGCCCTGGCTGGGATGATTTAGTTGGGGATTGGTCCTGCTTTGAGCAGGGGGTTCAACTAGATGACCTCCTGGGGTCCCTTCGAACCCTGATATTCTATGATTCTATGATCTCAGGGTGGAGTGACTTTTGCTTATTCAGAATAAAGATTTAGAAAAGCAAAATGGAGACTGGAAAATTTCTCTAGTAATAGGGTCTCCTTCTCCTCACCGTCTCATGTGTCTTCTCTCTTATATTATCTGTAAATTTTATGGGGGTTTTCTCCATCACTTTATTTTGAATGCCCTCTTCTCTCCCCAGGCCCTGGCCTCCAAGTTAGGGTTTATCTCCCCAATTTCCCACATGCACCCATGGAGTTTTTCTCCCCAGCTTCACCCCAACCTTAGAGTCCCTCACCCCATTGAAGGTTCCTTTTATCCTGGCTCCAAAATATCTTGGGGGCTCTATTCTCCCTTACAGAACTTTTAGATTCCCCCAGTGATTGAGGGCTTCTCTCCCTTCTTCAAATTCAGTGGCTCCTTTTCTCTCCCAAGTGTTGGGGGCTCTGCTCCCCCTTCATTAGGATGATCATAGTTTCAAGGTAACTGTAGTGATGGAGGGGGAAGTGCAGGTCCAGTTCTGGTTGGTGTGATGTCTAGGACATGTGTACAGTATTTGGCAGTTGTTGGAGGTGGGGAGGGGGCTTGGGTGTGCAGGGGGCTCTCTCTGAGGCCTTGAGGGAGGGCAAATACAGCCAGGTTTGGGAGTGGTCCTTGAGGTGCACATGATCAAGACAGTCTGCTGCAATGGATACCCACTCAGAGGGCTGGCAGCTTTATCAGGAGCCCAGACTGCTGGAGGGTTACAGAAACCAGCAGAACTGCTTTTATAAGCTCAATAGGGAGTGTGAAAAAGATCCTGCCAATAGGTTCACATAGTCTCCCTCCTCTCAGGGGCTCTTCTCATCCCAAATATCAGTGATCCCCCTTGCTGTGAGGATCTTTTGTCTTTCACCCCTTTGATCACAGGTCTCAGTGGGAAGGTGGGTCTGTTGTTGCCAGTTCTGGGCCTGGCAGCTGCCTCTCCTCCCCAAGCCTGACGGTCAGAGCTGGAAGCTGGTGTAATTATTAGGCCTATAAACTGTACCCCTGTTGTGAGCTCCAATGTTAAAAGCATGTGAGAGTTCATAAGATTTACAATAACCATGAAAAATAGGTCATATTATTTATGATGTTGAACGTTGTAACGGGTGCAAGAAAACTAGAGAAACTAGATGAGGCTAAACAAAAAAGGCCATGTTGGTATAATCCCATAGCCGCCGACTCTGTGGGTACTCTGGGGCTGAAGCACACACAGGGAAAAATTAACGGGTGCTCTGCACCCACCGGCAGCCACACTCTCCCCTCCTTGCCTCCTTCTCCCCCCTCCTCGCCTCCTTCGCTCCTCCCTCTCCCTTCAAGCGCTTCCTGCCCCCTCAGCTGTTTGGCGGTGCTTAGGACTTTCCGGGAGGGAGGGGGAGGAGTGGGGACATGGTGTGCTCAGGGGAGGAGGTGGAGAAGAGGCAGGGCAGGGACGGGGACTTGGAGGAAGGGGGTGGAGTGGGGGTGGGGCTAGGGCAGTACAGGGGTGGGAAGAGGCGGGGCCAGGGGCAGGAGGCGGGGCGTTGACCACCCACCAGGCAGAGGGGAAGTTGGCGCCTATGTATAATCCAATGACTGTTGAAATTATGCTTGTGAAAAACAGATGATGTGGAGCTGGAGGCTAATAAACCAAAATTGGTGTGAAGGATATTAGGCCTAATTAGTGGAAAAAATCATGAGAGAGATGAACTATGATGCCCACTTTTTCGGGTTCCTTAAAAGAAGACTTTGAAAAAAAAAGAACATATTCAGAGTACTTCATATCAGCTCTCCCTCTCCTCTCCCATACCACCTTGCATTTGAGCTCATCCCCTGAACTGCCAGCACTGGACCTCATCTCAATGCATCTAAAGGATTTTCTTCCTGAGAGGAAGGCCGGCTTCCCTTCATCTTGTTCAAGGAGTCCTTAATCTTGTTTGTGAGCGCTGAAAGTCATCGTATTATCATGACATCCAATCCTCAGCCCATCAGTGGGGATATCTAACTGCCAGCACTGCAGAGGCATGTAAGATCCTGCATTGTTTTCCCTTCCCTTGTTGTGTTATTTTCTGCCCCTCCCTTTCTTTCCTTCTATCCACTCTCTAACTCTCTTGGCTTGTCATCAAACCTGAAGTCAGCTATGCTGTATTCATCCAAGCCTGCCTTGTCTAAGAAGAAAAGATCCAATCAGATGACATCCCTGACCAGATCGTAAACCAGGGTCCAAACAGCAGTTGTTGTGGTCGACTTGCCAGCCAAAAGCATCCACATGTAACTAACGAGCAATCCAGTGTCCAAAAACTTCAACAAAACCCATATTTCACGCATCTTTTCTGGCCTATCTCTCCTCCATCTTGTGTCCGTCTGTGAAAAACAGGATACTTAAAAGCCCATTACACATCAGGACTGAGAGTAAAATTACCCTTTCCATATCAGGAAAGAAAGATAGTTCTGAAAATAAGAGATTATAGAATATTTTGCCTCCAAAAAGGTTTTAAAGGTTTTGACTTAGTTTGTTTTGCATAATCAGCCTACCACAATTTCAATATAATTGCCTGTTTTGACTTGTTTTTTCTTGTGTTTAATCAATAAACTTTTAATTGGAATGAATGCTTTTTGGGTGTTTGCCAAATAACCAAGTAAAACCAAGATCTCTGCTTTAAATAACCTCAAATCTACCTATCAGTGTTTAATGTTGGGCAGTGAAAGAGTTTATGAACACCTCTGAGTCTTTGGGCCTTTGAGCTCAATATCCACACATCAGAGCTGATGGGCTAAGTGGGAGAGACAGAGACGTGAGATGGCTGCGTCCTGCAGTGGAGAAGCAGAGCTAGTGCCAGGGATGTGGAGGGGCAGGATCTCCCAGCTCCTGCTCCGAGCCTGGCTCAACTGCCTGGGGAGGGGGCTCCTCCTACAGCTTCCCTGTAGCAGTAGGCCTGCTCTGATTGGGTCGCACTATCCCGGAGCTGATCAACGCCAAGGCCAACCTGATTGGTCAAGAGCTGAGTGGGAGGGACTTAAGGGACTTTGTGCCCATCCTGAATGCTGGTTGGTCAGTGTAAAGGGCTGGGGTGGTGCTTAGGAAGTTTTACGACAAATTTTATTCCGCATTGGTCAATGTCAGAGATTTGGGGTTAGAAATGTCTGGGCCATTCTCAATGCTGATTGATTAAGGGTGAAGGGGAAGCAGGGGGGCTTAGTCAGGAATTCCTGTCCAACCCTGGTCTCTGATTGGCCAGGGGGATGGGAGCTTAGGACAGGGCCTATGGAAGAATTTCTGTCCCATTCTTGATGCTGATTTGTCAGGGAGAGGAGCTGGTGGGCAGAGCAGCCTGTCACAACAGCTGTGACAAGCCCGGTTCACATAGTAATTGCTTTTCTCTGCGTTTCTCTTTCCCCAGCTTGCGGGTTTGTTGTCTCACAGGCGCTTGCTGTGGGGATCTCGCTACTGTTCTCGGAACCAGCCAGAGCCTGACAGAGCTGGATCTGGGTTATAATAAACTGGGAGATGCTGGCATTCAGCTGCTGTGTGAGGGACTGAAACAAAACTGCAAATTACAGAGTCTGCAGTAAGTGACATTTGGCTTCCTCTGTGTGTTTACAGATGTCCTCTATGTAAAGAGCTTGACAGGGTGCATGGCTGGTCACTGCTCCCGGCAGCTACAGGGAGAAACTGAGAGTTCAGTGTCTCCAGTACCTGGGTCAGTGGCTCACAACATGCCCCAGCCTGCCCTGGTGGTAAAACTGAAACTTTAAGTACAGCTGAGCCCACACTGGACAACTAGCTCCTCAGCTCTCTGGTGTTTGGGGAATATAGATATATACATATTTAAACCAACTTTTAATAAAAATGCATGTACTAAAAAGAGCTCACTGTTACCCTTCAGCTAGCAGTCTATTTTATAGCTCATTTTAATAATTTCGATGCCTTGATATTTTCAATGAATAGAAAGAAAAGAAGCCCTGGGCCCTGAGGATTCTAAACCTCCCACTCTGAGCAGAAATACTCAACTTGGATTTAAGCTTCAGCCCCAGCCATGGTGGCTTCTGCCTTTGATGTTCCCAGGGCTGGGACTGAACATGCTCCTAGCTGAGAGCCAGCACCAGTTTGAAGAAATGTCCTTTGAAGTGGAGCCTGCTGGGGATAGGGATGTGTTTTTACAGTTACAAACAGGACACGTGAGAGTACGTGCCAATGTTGGACTCATTATAAAATACTAAAGGCCAGGGATCGGCAACCTTTCAGAAGTGGTGTGCCGAGTCTTCATTTATTCACTCAAATTTAAGGTTTCACGTGCCAGTAATACATGTTAACGTTTTTAGAAGGTCTCATTCTATACGTCTATAATATATAACTAAACTATTGTTGTATGTAAAGTAAATAAGGTTTTTAAAATGTTTAAGAAGCTTCATTTAAAATTAAATTAAAATGCAGAGCCCCCCGGACCAGTGGCCAGGACCCGGCAGTGTGAGTGCCACTGAAAATCAGCTTGTGTGCCACCTTCGGCACACGTGCCATAGTTGCCTACCCCTGTACTAAACCCTTTGGGGAAAGCGGTGGCTCTTCCTTTATCTTTTTCAATACATTTCTGCTCTTTTTCTTCTTTCAAGGTAGAAGCCCCATCCCAGGCCTCTGAGGTTCTGGGGACTTGAGGCCAGATTTTCCAATGAGCTCAGCATCTAGCAGCTCCAATAGTGACATTTCCAAAAAGATTTTCAAAGGATCTGCCAGATCCCGTTGCTCAGTACATCTGCTGCTTCCTGTTCCCTCCTGAAGAGCGAGACCTACAAATCTACAGCAAAAAAAACAAGGAGTACTTGTGGCACCTTAGAGACTAACAAATTTATTTGGGCATACGCTTTTGTGGACTAAAACCCACTTCATTGGATGCATGCAGTGGAAAATACAGTAGGAAGATATATATATATATACACAGAGAACATGAAAAAATGGGTGTTGCCATACAAACTCTAACAGACTAATCAATTAAGGTGGGATATTATCAGCAGGAGAAAAAAAAACTTTTGTAGTGATAATCAGGATGGCCCATTTCAAACAGTTGACAAGAAGGTGTGAGTAACAGTTGGGGGAAAATTAGCATGGGGAAACAGCCTCTACTTTGTGTAATGACCCATCCACTCCCAGTCTTTATTCAAGCCTAATTTAATAGTGTCCAGTTTGCAAATTAATTCTAATTCTGCAGTTTCTCATTGGAATCAGTTTTTGAAGTTTTTTGTTGCAGAATTGTGACTTTTAGGTCTGAAATTGAGTGACCAGTCAGGTTGAAGTGTTCTCCGACTGGTTTTTGAATGTTATAATTCTTGATGTCTGTTTGTGTCCATTTATTCTTTTGCGAAGAGGTTGTCCGGTTTGGCCAATGTACATGGCAGAGGGGCATTGCTGGCACATGATGGCATATATCATATTGGTAGATGTGCAGGTGAACGAGCCTCTGACGGTGTGGCTGATGTGATTAGGTCCTATGATGGTGTCCCTAGAATAGATATGTGGACAGAGTTGGCAACGGGCTTTGTTGCAAGGATAGGTTCCTGGGTTAGTGTTTTTGTTGTGTGGTGTGTGGTTGCTGGTAAGTATTTGTTTCAGGTTGGGGGGCTGTCTGTAAGCGAGGACTGGCCTGTCTCCCAAGATCTGTGAGAGTGAGGGATCGTCCTTCAGGATAGGTTGTAGATCCTTGATGATGCACTGGAGAGATTTTAGTTGGGGGCTGAAGGTGACGGCTAGTGGCGTTCTGTTACTTTCTTTGTTGGGCCTGTCCTGGAGTAGGTGACTTCTGGGTATTCTTCTGGCTCTGTCAATCTGTTTCTTCACTTCAGCAGGTGGGTATTGTCATTTTAAGAACACTTGATAGAGATCCTGTAGGTGTTTGTCTCTGTCTGAGGGATTGGAGCAAATGCGGTTGTATCTTAGAGCTTGGATGTAGACAATGGATTGTGTGATGTGGTCTGGATGAAAGCAGAGCCAGGGCTTTAACTACAAGAGCCTCCTTTCTCCTGCAGAGAGCTGTGCTCATTCTCTTGCATTTTTTTGGTCTCAGAAATGTGCTTTCTGGATAGGAGACGACCTCTCTTTTATATAGTTACATTTTTTAAAGTAGAGCTACTTAACAGCATTTAAAAATTAGGGCCAGTACTACTAATGAATTTTCTGATCATGATATACATTGTGATTTACTGAAGTGTGTCAGAAAAATTCAAAAAGCTCTGTCTACTGACCAGAGCCAATCAAACATCTGAAAGCTATGAGGAGGCAAAACAAAATGCAGGTAAGATTGCCTGAAAGTGGAGGGTGAAGGGTGGCCATCTCCTGAGAATTTTTGAAGGTTTTCATACATTTCAAAGGCAAAATTCTATGCAATTGGAATAATAAGAGCATTCCTGGTGTTCATCTCGAGTTCTGCACTAGGATAACTAGGGGATAATATGTGTCAAATCACATATTGTTAATATAGAAGTGCATCAAAACCATATGATCCCAAATATATAGGATTATTTGCCAACAGATGCACACATGACTATATTCTAAAACCCAGCATCAATGTGAGTCAATGGGGGAATGTATGGAGGGGCATGAGCAGCTTTACAGATTTACAGTTAAATCAGGATTGAAAACCCTTTATTTTACATTTAGCATTTTATTAGAAAGAAAATCAGATTATTCCTGCCTGTAATCTCAGGAACGATGGACTCATATGCCCCCTTCTATTCTCAGCCATGACTCTGAGATCCCTCTTACCCTAGAGAGAATCATATTGTGATATATATTACAATGTTGCCACCTAGTGGTTTTATCACAAAGCTCTTGCTATTTGTTGCTAAGACTGAGACTGACTCTCCATTTTTAAAAAAAATGAAAGCTATGTTTCTACTCTCGTGTTTGCAGAGACAGCGTGAGAGCCTGAACCCTGAAAAACCAAAAGCCAAATAAAAGGAATTCAGTGTATTATTTAAAAAAAAATCTCATGATTTTTAAGAGAGTGTCAAACTGAGCATAGTCATAAGACTGTTTGAGGCCTCACTTGTGATTTTTGAACTTTTGACAACATACAGCGAGTATCTTAGTGCAACGTTTTGGCATCAAACTTACTATAAAATAAAAAAAATTAACTAAATGCTGCTCCGTCTCCCCCTCTTTCTTCTTTCTTTTTTATTTGTTCTGTTGTTTCTCTATATACTCAGATATTTTCTTCTCTTTTTTCTTCTCTCTCTGCCTCTCTTTTTTCTTCAGTCTTTTGAGTGTCTGTGTTTCCCCTCAAATTTTGCCCTTTACTTTTTCCTGCCATTCCCTCTCTAAAACTCTCACTCCATTTTCTCCTTTTTCCTGCTCCCCAGAGACTCCCTCCATACTTCATTAATTCTTTCTCTCTTGCCCCCTCTGTCTTTCTTAATTCTCCTCTGTCCACCCATATTCCTTTTCCTATTTCCTTCAGGGTCTTTCCCCACTTTCAGTGCTCTTCCTTGAAGGTCTCTCTTCCTCCGCACCATGATAGGTATTTCCTTACCCCACCTTAGCATTATCTCTTCCATCAAAGATATCATGGTTTATGCGGAGGATGGGGTGGGGTGTTCCCTCCTCACTCTGGTTATTACCCCTGGGTGGCAGGGGGTGTGTATCTTCTTTTAATCCCAATTAAGGTCCATTCTTCTCACATATCCTCCTCACACTTTGGGGTCTCTTTCTCCTTACCTTCTCAGGTGTCTTACCTCTTCTCTTTTTTAGACTTTAAATCTTTTGGGGTTCTTCTCTTCTGCTTCAACTTGATTGCCCTCCTTTATTCACACCCGTCCTCCATATTAGAGTTTATCCCCTCAGATTACCACATATATGTTTGCATTTTTTCTCCCCCTCTTGAGCCCAATCCCCCATTGCCAGCTCCTCTCTTCCTGACTCCAAAATATTTTGGGGGCTCTACTAATGCTTACAGACTCTCGGTCTCCACAAGGCATGGAGGCTTTTCTCCCTTGTACAAATTCTTTCCCAAATATTGGGGTTCCCCTCACTATTTGGCAGAGTAACAATATTTTTAAGGCAAATGAGCTGATGAAGGAGGCCGTGCAGGTGATAGTTCTGGTGGGAGAGGTGTCTTGACATGTGCAAGACTTAACAGCTGTTGGGGATGGGGAGGGCTTATATTTGGGTGTGAGCTTATTGTGAGGCCTTGATGGAGGGCAAAATCAGCCATGCTTGGAGGTGGTCCCTGAGGTGCCCATGGTCATAACCAGCCTGCTGCCATGGTTACCCATACAGCTGGCTGGCAGCTCCATCAGGAGCCCAGGCTCTACAGGGGGTTACAGAAAACAGCAGAACTTCTGCTTTTATAACCCCACCAGAGACTCTGGAACAGGCCCTGCCAACAGGGTCATATAGTTACCCGCCTTTCAGGGGCTCTTCCCTCCCCACACCCTGGGTAACTCCCTGCCATGGGGTTCTTCTCCCCTTTGTCTCTTCCCCCCCCCCCCCCCATTTATTTCCTGTTCTCAGTGAAAGGTATGATTCTGCCAGCACTTGGCCTGGCAGCTGCCTCCCCTCCCCAGGCTTGATGGTTAGGGCTGGGAGCTGAGGGCTGGGGGTAGACACAGAAGACGGCTGCATACTTCAGGGGAGCTGCTGAGCTAGTACCAGGGGTGTTGAGGGGCAGGATCTCCCAGCTCCTGCTCTGAGCCTGGCCCAGATGCCTGGGGAAGGGGCTCCCCCTACAGCTATGTAGTCAATTATTTTTGTCAAGGTCCACATTTCTTGGTCAAGGTATAGTCAAGGTCCAGACTCTAGAGAAAATAATTTAAACTTAATAACAATAATGATAATAAAAAGTAAATAAAAAGATGCTGGGATCTGTTCAAAAGCATCAGGTGATCCGCATTTGTCCTGCAATCTGCCTGTTGACTACGCCTCCCTGTAGCAAGGGGCCTGCTCTGATGGGATTGCACCATACCAGGGCTGATCAGTGCCAAGTCCAGCCTGACTGGTCAGGAGCTGAGTGGGCAGGACTTAAAGGGCAACTTTTTACCCTTTCTGAATTCTGGTTGGTCAGTGGAGAGGGTGAGGGGGCGGTGCTTAGGAAGAAAGCCTGACCCCTTATTCCTCATTTGTCAGTGGCAGAGGTTTGATGTGTCTAGGCCAGTCTCACTGTTGATTGGTTAATAGTAAAGGGTAAGTGTTGGGGTTTAGACAGGAAGTCCCACCCACTGCTTGTTTCTCACTGGACAAGGGGATGGGCTTGGGACAGAGTCTATAGCAGGACTTCTGGTTCCTTCTCGATGGTGATTGGTCCGGCAGAGGGGCTGGTGGGCGGAGCCACCTATCAGAAAAGCTGTGACAATCCCGGTTCACACCATGATTCTCCTTCTCTGCTTTTCTCTCTTCTGCAGCTTGGACAAGTGTGGCGTCACAGCCCCTAGCTGTGGAACTCTTGCCGTTGTTTTCAGAACCAACCAGAGCCTGAGAAAGCTGGTGCTCAGTGATCCTGAACTGGGAGATTCTGGAGTGCGGCTACTGTGTAAGGGACTGAAACATCCAAATTGCAAATTAAGGAGTCTGGTGTAAGTAACATTTGGCCTCCTTTATGCATTTATAGGTTTCCTTTATGTAAAGTGCTCAACAGGGGGCAGAGCTGGACAATGTATCTGCACCACTAGAAGACAGTCCTGACTCAAATACATATTTGCATTGGTGTACTTCTAAAAGCAAACCCCACCACTGGAGCTCTACTGTAATGAAGAGGCACTCTCTGGAATTAGGGCCCTGTAGTTTTAGAAGAGGTTTCTGTGACTAAACCCAATCTCTGCCTCTGAGGGGATTTAAAACATTTGGTCACCCCAAACTGCAGATAGAGCCTGGGTTTCCTTCTCAAGGCACCCAAGCCTGATTTGTGTCCATAAGTCACAATTTAAGAACGTAGGGTATTAGAGTTTAACTTGAAAACACCCAACTTCTCTCCCTCCCCTGTCTCTCCCACCCAACACATACTTGCATATTTTATAATCAAAGTTAAACTGTGTAAAACCTGAAGACCTGAGTAGGAAAATTAAATTACTATAAATTTAAGTAACAAATCATTAGAACTAAGGGTGTCAAACAATTTTAAAAAATAATTACAATTAATCATGAGATTAAAAAAATAGTTGCAGTTTTCATTGCACTATTAAACAATAATAGAATACCAATTTAAATTTATAATAAATATTTTGGATGTTTTTTCTACATTTTCAAATATATTGATTTCAATTACAACACAGACTACACAGTACAGTGCTAACTTTATATTATTATTTTTGATTACAAATATTTGCACTGTAAAAAGATAAAAAAAATAGTATTTTTCAATTCACCTCACACAAGTGCAATCTCTTTTTACGTTTGTAAGTTGCATTTTCATGATGATTTTTTGACATAACTGCACTCAGAAACAAAACAATGTTAAAACTTTAGAGCATACAGGTCCACTCAGTCCTACTTCTTGGTCCGCTAATTGCTAAGACAAACAAGTTTGTTAACATTTACAGGAGACATAGGGTTGCCAATTTTGGTTGGACTAATTCCTGAAGGTTTCATCACCTGACATAATCTTTAATTAAAGATTAATCTTTAATTCATGGAGACTCCAGGACAATCTTGGAGGGTTGGCAACCCTAGGGAGATAATGCTGCCAGCCTCTTATTTCAGTGTCACCTGAAAGTGAGAACAGGTGTGGCACTGTTGTAATATAAAGTGAGCAATGTATCCTTTGTATTCTGTGTTCAGAGGAGGGAAATCAGAATGAAATAAAGAGACAGATCAAGGAAGATCAGCAGATTGAAAGGCCTGGAGACCAAAGGCAGCATCTGGTGAAGATGTATCTACTTGTAGTGATACTTGTACTTATAGTGTCTGGTCATAAGATATAGAGATTGTCAGATCCTCACTATATTGACCTCTTCTATCTGCTGAGATTTACAGACCGATATTATTGAACATGCTCTGAGGTTTGACAGCAGTGTCTTTCAAGCCTTCATATAGGTTTGCATATGAAGACACATGCAGACAGAGCCAACCTGAACTCTGTAGAATGGTAAGTTTAGGAGAGAGGTGTTTTGATGGAAATAACAAGGAGAACTCCATTAGGTAGGAATTATGGAATAGTTCTGAGTACCACTTTGTCTGGTAAAAGCTGAAGAAAAGGAGATGTATTATATAACACCATTAACTCCGTGACCCTTCTGGTGCAGTTCATTGGAATTGTCTCAGTTCAGGGAACTCCAGCACTGCTTCCCCTCAGTGGTCCATCAATGGCAGTTCCTCTCAGGCTTCCAGCTCCCCTTGCCATTGCTTTTCCTGGGAGGAGACCCGTGTCTCTCTCCTTTCTGACGGGGGTATTTTCAGGCTGAACAGTTCCCTGCCATTACTGTGTTATTCCCAGCAAACAACAGTCTGCCTAAGCAGGCCTGCTCCGCTCCTCTCCTCAGAGACCGTACACAATGTAATTGCCCAGTTATAAGTTACCATGCAGTTCTTTCTAAGCAAACATATTTTATTCTGAAGGTAAAAGCACTACAGAGAAAACATATTACAAATAATTCAAGAACCAACATTCATACTAATAAGTGTAACAGAGATCACCCCTCCAACATGGGCTCTGGCAGGAGCAGTCCTTCAAAACCCCACCCAGGGGTTTTCCTGTGCTTTCAAGTTTCTCACACCCTTTGCTCAGAACAAGAATTCAGTCTTATGGGCCTCACTAGGCCAAGTCCTTCCAACCTTCCCTAAGGATTGAGACCCTCCATGGACCAGAGGTCCTATCCATTTTCTGGATCAGGAAGAAGGCCCTGAGTCAGTTTAAACACAGTTATTTATCCCAACGTCCTTTCTTTGTCTGTGGGTCCCTGGAGAATCCAGTTTGAACTAGTAATGCAAACCTTTCCAGGAGATGGCTTCAAACAGCTTCTGACCGGAGAAATTACATTAGCATACCCCATCCTCCTACCACAGTTACATGCAATCTCATAGTATCATAGAATCATAGGACTGGAAGGAGCTCGAGAGGTCTTCTAGTCCAGTCCCCTGCACTCATGGCAGGACTAGTATTATCTAGACCATCCCTGACAGGTGATTTTCTTCACTGCTTTTACCTTGCCAAAAGAAGTTGTAATTGGCCTCTTAGACAGAACCAGCATCTGCAAGTTTTTTTTCCTGAAGTGCTGCAATGTCAACACTGAGTTTGCACAGCTCACGGTCTATCAAAGTTGACTTCCATATGCTGCTTGTGTATTGTAGGTCATCATCATCTGTCAATCCCGGACACATGGTCCTGACATTCCAGCTTCAAACTGGAAAGTTCTTGGTTTCTCACTTTTTCAGGTGCAAGGTTTCCATCTGCCTTTCAACTTTTGGTCTAGCCCCACGCACCCCATGAGGCAGACAGACCGTGGCGGGTCAGCTGCCCGGCTTCCTGGCGGGCGGCGGCTGACCAATGGAATGCAGTGATTCCTCCTACCATTGAAGGTGACCCATGGCACCCTCCTCTAACCTTAACACCTTAACAAAGACAAATGCAAAGTGCTCCACTTAGGAAGGAAAAATCAGTTTCACACATACAGAATGGGAAGAGACTGTCTAGGAAGGAGTACAGCAGAAAGGGATCTAGGGGTTACAGTGTACCACAAGCTAAATATGAGTCAACAGTGTGATGCTGTTGCGAAAAAGGCAAACAAGATTCTGGGATGTATTAACAGGTGTGTTGTGAGCAAGACACGAGAAGTCATTCTTCCGCTCTACTCTGCGCTGGTTAGGCCTCAACTGGAGTATTGTGTCCAGTTCTGGGCACCGCATTTCAAGAAAGAGGTGGAGAAATTGGAGAGGGTCCAGAGAAGAGCAACAAGAATGATTAAAGGTCTTGAGAACATGACCTATGAAGGAAGGCTGAAAGAATTGGGTTTGTTTAGTTTGGAAAAGAGAAGACTGAGAGGGGACATGATACCAGTTTTCAGGTATCTAAAAGGGTGTCATAAGGAGGAGGGAGAAAACTTGTTCATCTTAGCCTCTAAGGATAGAACAAGACGCAATGGGCTTAAACTGCAGCAAGGGAGGTTTAGGTTGGACATTAGGAAAAAGTTCCTAACTGTCAGGGTGGTTAAACACTGGAATAAATTGCCTAGGGAGGTTGTGGAATCTCCATCTCTGGAGATATTTAAGAGTAGGTTAGATAAATGTCTATCAGGGATGGTCTAGACAGTATTTGGTCCTGCCATGAGGGCAGGGGACTGGACTCGATGACCTCTCGAGGTCTCTTCCAGTCCTAGAATCTATGAATCTATGCCAGTCAAGTGAGAGCTTATAACCCATAACTGCCACCTGTGTTGTATCCATGTTGCCATCAAGGATGGAGTGTCCTCTCCATGTGATGTGACTGCAATAGCCTGGGCAGTTGATATGGAGGTGCTGCTTTGCCCATGTGTCAGCGTTCCCTTCTTGACATCACTGGTTTGGACTAAAGGAAGGATGGGAGTCGATACATTTGGAACCAGCTACGCTGAAGGAGTTGCGAGTGCAGAGGAGATCATCTGCACAGTGTCAGTTTTGCTGTGAGAAACAAGTGGGTAAAGCTCCTAGAAACACCCACTGGGAAGTTTGAGCATACCATCTCACTTAAACTTCAGACAACCATTGGCTCTATGAACATCATTAGTGCCTATGCGCCAACCCTCAAATCTAGCCCCGAAGAGAAGCATACATTTTACAACTCTTTGCATCAAGTCATCAAAAGAATGCCATCAACTGAGCAACTTTTCCTCCTTGGTGACTTCAGTTCAAGAGTCGGTGCAGACAACAACTTATGGCCAGATTGCCTAGGACATTTTGGCATTGGCAAGATGAATGAGACTGGCCAACGATTTCTTGAATTCTGCGCCCAAAACCAAATGTGCATTACCATATTTTACAGGAAAAGATCGCCACAAAGTGTCATGGTGACATCCATGATCAGGCCACTGGCACCAATTAGACCAGGGGTTCTCAACCTGTGGGTCACGAGGTTACTACTTGGGGGCTCGCAAGCTGTCAACCTCCACTCCAAACCCCGCTTTGATTCCAGCATTTATAATGGTGTTAAATATATTAAAAAGTGTTTTTAATTTGTATGGGGGATCACACTCCAAGGCTCACTGTGTGAAAAAGGTCACCAGTACAAAAGTTTGAGAACCACTGAATTAGACCTTGTTATCATCAGGAGGAAAGATCTACCCTTAGTGCAGAACACTCTCACGTTTCACAGTGCTGATAGTGACACTGACCACTCCTTGATTATTAGCAAAGTGAAGATTTCAGCCAAGAAACTACATAGAGCAAAACCTAGGAGCAAGCCCAAAATCAATGCTATTAAGAATGAAAACCAGAGGAAATGCCCAGACTTTGTGAAGGCTTTTGAACGTAGCATGCATGGGAAGTCACTACCAGAGAAAGCAGAGGAATTTTGGGAAGATTTAAGAACAACAATCCATGAAATTGCTTTAGCTACATTTGGGGGAAAGAGACCATCAAAAAAGGACTGGTTTGAAGAAAATGAAGTGGAACTATTACCTCTCATCAACATTAAGACCACAGCCTAGCTGGAACACAACAAGAAGCCAACAGAGAGCACAGAAGTGAGACTTTGACATGCAAAAACCGAGGTACAACGAGGAAGCAGATGTTGTGCAAATCATTACTGGATCAATCTCTGTAAAGAGCTACAGACAGCCTCAGACACAGGAAACCTCAAAGTCATGTATGATGGCCTGATGAAAGCTCTAGTCCCACTGTCAACAAGGTTGCCCCTCTCAAATCGCACAGCAGTGAAATTATTACAGATAAAAGCAAGCAGTTGTCTCGTTGGGTTGAACACTATTCAGAGCTATACTCACAAGAAAGAAACATCACCAGTGAATCACTGGACCAAATACCAACTCTACAGGTCATGCCAGAGCTAGATGTGGAGCCCACTGTAGAAGAACTAAGAAAGGCCATTGATTTGCTATCAAGTGGCAAGGCTCCTGGAAAAGATGGCATCCCAGAGGAAATCCTATTACCATATCTTCATCAGCTGCTACTTAAGTGCTGGAAAGAGGGTGAGGTACCACAAAAGGTGCGTGATGCAAACATCATCACTTTGTATAAAAATAAAGGCAAAAAGGGCAACTGCAACAATTACAGGGGTATCTCGCTACTAAGTGTAGCAGGAAAAGCTTTTGCAAAAGTCATCTTAGTGCGCCTACAACAGCTGGCAAATTGTGTCTATCCTGAATCACAGTGTGGATTCAGGACTAGAAGATCAATTATAGACATGATATTTTCTCTGTGTCAACTCCAAGAAAAGTGCAGAGAGCAAAACTGACCATTGTACATTGCCTTTGTGGACCTAACCAAAGTATTCAACACGGTCAGCAGAGCAGGTCTATTTGCAATACTAGAAAAGACAGGATGCCCACCAACCCTGTTAAGTCTTATACGTTCATTCCACAACAACATGAGAGCAATGGTCCAGTTTGACGGGTCCACTTTGGACAGCTTTGAGATGAAATGTGGAGTGAATCAAGGATGTTTTCTTGCCCCTACAGTCTTTGGAATCTTCTCGGTACTCTTGAAATGTATCTCCATACAAGATTGGATGGGAAACTCTTCAACCTGTCCCAACTTAAGTCAAAGACCAAAGTCAAAAAGGTGTTAATCAGGGAACTTCTATTAGCTGATGATGCGGCCCTCATAGCCCACAATGAAGAGCTACTACAAGAACTCATGTACTGCCTTTCAAGTGCCTGTCAGGCATTTGCTCTCACCATCAGCATTAAGAAAACGGTTGTATTAGGCCAGGGTGTTCCACAAGATCTTTCAATTACCTTAAATGCAAACCAGCTAGAAATAGTCCAAAAGTTCAGCTATTTAGGTTCTACAGTGACCACCAACCTCTCACTGGATGAGAACTAAATATTCACATTGAAAAGGCTGCCACCACCTATAGCAGACTAACTAAAAGTGCATGGAACAACTCAAAACTTACCATCAAGGCCACAATGCTAGTGAACTAAGCTTGCGTCCTCAGCACTCTCATGTATGGTGGGGAAACCTGGACAACTTGTGCTCATCAGGAGAAATGATTAAACAGTTTCCATCTACATTGTTTACACCGCATACTCAACACCAAATGGCAAGATAAAGTTACCAATGCAGAGGTTCTTCAAAGGGCAAATTTACCAAGTGTGACATCCCTGCTCAAGCAAAGATGACCACGCTGGCTGGGCCATCTGAGTAGGTTGGAAGATAGATGCATACCAAGGACATGCTATATGGGGAGCTATCAGAGGGAACAAAAACAACAGGATGTCCCAAGCTTCGCTATAAAGATACACACAAGCGACCCATGAAGGAATTTTGAATTGATCCTGACCAATGGGAAATTTTGGCAAGTGATTGTATCAAGTGGCACCATCGTCTCCATCAGTGTATCACGGTCCATGACAGAAGCTGGCTCCTACAGCTTGAAGAGAGAAGAGCCTGTAGGAAGCAAGCAGCTCCCAACCAAGATACATACATTTGCAATAACTGCCAAAGATCATGCAAATCTCAGATTGGACTATTCAGTCACATGAAACATTGCAAACCATCTATATTATAGGGTGCATTTCCCACTATCTCTCGTAGACAAAAGGATGACAACATCTGACAAGTGTTTGTCTAACCTGCTCTTAAAAATATCCAATAACAGAGATTCCACAACCTCCCTAGGCAATTTATTCCATAAGAACATAAGAACATAAGAAAGGCCGTACCGGGTCAGACCAAAGGTCCATCTAGCCCAGTATCCTGTCTACCAACAGTGGCCAATGCCAGGTGCCCCAGAGGGAGTGAACCTAACAGGCAATGATCAAGTGATCTCTCTCCTGCCATCCATCTCCACCCTCTGACAGACAGGCTAGGGACACCATTCCTTACCCGTCCTGGCTAATAGCCATTAATGGACTTAACCACCATGAATTTATCCAGTTCTCTTTTAAACTCTGTTATAGTCCTAGCCTTCACAACCTCCTCAGGTAAGGAGTTCCACAAGTTGACTGTGCGCTGCGTGAAGAAGAACTTCCTTTTATTTGTTTTAAACCTGCTGCCTATTAATTTCATTTGATGACCCCTAGTTCTTGTATTATGGGAATAAGTAAATAACTTTTCCTTATCCACTTTCTCCACATCACTCATGATTTTATATACCTCTATCATATCCCCCCTTAGTCTCCTCTTTTCCAAGCTGAAGAGTCCTAGCCTCTTTAATCTCTCCTCATATGGGACCCGTTCCAAACCCTTAATCATTTTAGTTGCCCTTTTCTGAACCTTTTCTAGTGCCAGTATATCTTTTTTGAGATGAGGAGACCACATCTGTACGCTGTATTTGAGATGAGGGTGTACCATTGATTTATATAAGGGCAATAATATATTCTCAGTCTTATTCTCTATCCCCTTTTTAATGATTCCTAACATCCTGTTTGCTTTTTTGACCGCCTCTGCACACTGCGAGGACATTTTCAGAGAACTATCCACGATGACTCCAAGATCTTTTTCCTGACTTGTTGTAGCTAAATTAGCCCCCATCATATTATATGTATAGTTGGGGTTATTTTTTCCAATGTGTATTACATTTATCCACATTAAATTTCATTTGCCATTTTGTTGCCCAATCACTTAGTTTTGTGAGATCTTTTTGAAGTTCTTCACAGTCTGCTTTGGTCTTAACTATCTTTAGCAGTTTAGTATCATCTGCAAACTTTGCCACCTCACTGTTTACCCCTTTCTCCAGATCATTATGAATAAGTTGAATAGGATCGGTCTGAGGACTGACCCTTGGGGAACACCACTAGTTACCCCTCTCCAGTCTGAGAATTTACCATTAATTCCTACCCTTTGTTCCCTGTCTTTTAACGAGTTCTCAATCCATGAAAGGACCTTCCCTTTTATCCCATGGCAGCTTAATTTACATAAGAGCCTTTGGTGAGGGACCTTGTCAAAGGCTTTCTGGAAATCTAAGTACACTATGTCCACTGGATCCCCCTTGTCCACATGTTTGTTGACCCCTTCAAAGAATTCTAATAGATTAGTAAGACACAATTTCCCTTTACAGAAACCATGTTGACTATTGCTCAACAGTTTGTTTTTCTATGTGTCGAACAATTTTATTCTTAACTATTGTTTCGACTAATTTGCCTGGTACAGACGTTAGACTTACCGGTCTGTAATTGCCAGGATCACCTCTAGAGCCCTTTTTAAATATTGGCGTTACATTAGCTAACTTCCAGTCATTGTCATTCCAGTGCTTAACTAGCCTGACAGTAAGTTTTTGCTAATGTCCAACCTTAGCTGTCCTTGCTGCAGTTTAAGCCCATTGTTTCTTGTCCTATTCTCAGAGGTTAAGGAGAACAATTTTTCTCCCTCCTCCTTGTAACAACTTTTTATGTACTTGAAAACTGTTATCATGTCCCCCTTGGTCTTCTCTTCTCCAGACTAAACAAACCCAATTTTTTCAGTCTTCCCTCATAGGTCATGTTTTGTAGACCTTTGATCACTTTTGTTGCTCTTCTCTGGACTTTCTCCAATTTGTCCACAAACTTCTTGAAATGTGGCACCCAGAACTGGACTCAATACTCCAGTTGAGGCCTTATCAGTGTGGAGTAGAGTGGAAGAATTACTTCTTGTCTTTCTTACAACACTTCTGCTAATACATCCCAGAATGATGTTTGCTTTCTTTGCAACAGCGTTACACTGTTGACTCCTATTTAGCTTGTGATCCACAGATTCTGATTGGTCAGGCCCAGGGGCCAGTGGGCAGAGCCACCTGTCAGAATAACTGTGACAAGCCGCATTCACACCATGATCCCCTTTCTCTGCCTTTCTCTGTTCTGCAGCTTGTCGGGGTGCGGTGTCACAGCTGCTGGCTGTGGGGATCTTGCCGCTGTTCTCAGGATCAGCCAGTGCCTAACAGAGCTGCAGCTCAGTAATCCTGAACTTGGAGATTCCGGAGTGCGGCTGCTGTGTGAGGGACTGAAACATCCAAACTGCAAATTACAGAGACTGGTGTAAGTAACATTTGTCCTCCTTTATGCATTTACGGGTGTCCTTTATGTAAAGTGCTCGACAGGGTGCGTAGCTGGTGTCTGCTCTCTGCAGTTACAAGGAGAATCTGAAAATCAAGTGTCTCTCCAGCACTTGCAGGAAGAACTCACTATTTGTGCCCAGCCTGCTGGGTTTGGAAATGTAAGTATAGCTGGGCCCACTGGACAAGGGGTGGGGCTTGGGAAAGAGTCTGTAGCAGGACTTCTGGCTCATTCTTAATGCTGATTGGTGAGGCAGAGGGACTGGTGGGCAGGGTCACCTGTTAGAAGAGCTGAAGATCCCCATTCACACCATGATACCCTTCTCTGCATTTCTGTCTTCTGCAGCTTGCAGGGGTGTGGTGTCACAGATGCTGGCTGTGAGGATCTTGCCGCTGTTCTCAGAACCAGCCAAAGCCTGACAAAGCTGCAGCTAGGTAATAATGATCTGGGAGATTCCGGAGTGTGGCTGTTGTGTGAGGGACTGAAACACCCAAACTGCAAATTAGAGAGTCTGCGGTAAGTAACATTTGGCCTCTTTTATGACTTTATGGGTGTCCTTTGAAGTGTTCACCAGGGTGTGTAGCTGGTTTCTGCTCTCTGCAGTTGCAGGGAGAATCTGAAAATCAAGTGTCTCTCCAGCACTTGTAGGAAGGATTCACTATATGCCCCCAGCCTGCCAGGTGTGGAAATGGGAGTATAGCGGGGCTCACCCAAGAAAACTAATTCCCCAGCCCCTTGGTATAATTTTTTTTTAAACCAACTCTTAATTAAAATGCATTTACTAAAATACATTCTTACCCTTTAGCTTGCAGCCTACTTTTTAGATCATTTTAAAGACTTTTGACACCTTAACTTTCATATAAAATGAATAAAAACAGAAGAGGCACCAGAACACTAAGGATTCTAATACACCCCATCTGAGCCCCACCCATCGTGGTTCCTGCCTTTGAAGTTCCCAGGGCTGGGGCTGAAGCTGGTGTCTGCTGAGAGACAGCACCAGTTTCATGAAATACCTTTTGAAATGCAGCCTGCTGGGAATAGGGATGTGTGTTTACAGTTACAAACATGGCAGGTGAGAGCAGATGCCAATGCCGGACTCATTCTAAAAAATACAAAACCCTTTGGGAAAAAGAGAAGTGGCTCTTCCCTTTTCTATTTCAATATATTTCTGATTGTTTCTTCTTCTCTCAAGGAAGAAGGCCCACCCCATACCTGTGAGAACCTGGGAAACTCTGGGGGCTTGAGGCCAGATTTCCAAAAGAGCTCAACACTCAGCAGCCCCCACTATGACAATTCTGCCCAGACTTTCAGAAGACCTGCATCCTGGAAGCTGAGCTCTCCTGAAAATCTGCCCCCAAAGCACCAGCATAATGAAGAGCAAAATCAGCCTCCTTTTGCAGCAGCTGTCCACCATTGGGGTTAATGCCACTAACTTCTAATGTCCACCTCCACCCCCCATTTTCTCCCAAGAATATCAGCTGCACTGACTGGAGGGTCGAGGTGCTTCTGCTGGCATCTATCCTCAGGAGTCCTCAAGCAAGGCCTCAAAGCTCCGCCTGGCAGTATACAGATGGATAGGACTCATCTCAGGGCTTGTTGTTTTCTTTTTATTCCCACTATCAGTGATGTTTAGCCTCTTCCTTCTCTCTTGATGATGAGCAGGTGCCACTCCCCATTACACACCCTCCAGAGGAGAGAACATACCAGCTGCACTCAAAGACTCCCTGGGTCAGTGATTTCCCTGCTCATAGCAACCACCACCACATGCACTTTCCTTTCCCCCACCCCATGTTCTAGGAGTCACCACTGGGCTGCATTTCCCCTGCCCAGTGCAAGTGCAGCTTCCTGTTCCCTCCCGAGGAGTGAAACCTACAGATCACTGGTTCCTCACTGCAATAGGTGACAGGAGATGCAGCTGTTCCAGGACACTTCACTGGTAATCAGTGACTGATAATTCTTCCAGGGAATAGGTCTCAACCTTTTGCACATTATCCTGTCCAAGGGGGAAGAACAAAACAAAACAGGTATCACCGGTTTATCTTTCTCCTTCCCCAAGGAAGGGGATTGCCCAAATGCTCCATTTACACCTCAGGATACCCCAGTGTGCACAGCTGCCCAAAACACTGATCCTGGCTTCTCCCCTCTCCTCGAATCTGTGCCTTTCTGTAGTGCTGTAAAAACACATTTTATATCTTCTGATACTTACCAGCAGGGGCGTCATTCACTATGGGGCAGTTGCTCCTGCCCCCCCCACCGTCTTTCCATAGGTCTATATGCTTCATTATGCGCCCTCCCTGACTGTGTACGATATAACTACATATAATGTTCTATAAGCTAACATAGCTTCAACCCCCACCCCCTGAATTTTTCTGAGATGAGGCCCCTGCTGACTAGCCCTGCTGTGTAAGTTCCCACAAGGGCTGCCTCAGACTTTCCACAGCACACTAAGGGCTTAGTCATCCTCCTTGATAAAGGATGGCCTGTGTTTTCAGGGTGTGCCTGATGACAGATGGTTGTATGAACTGGAAAAAACAAAGGAAGAGCAAAGCTGTGAGGATGGCTTTTTTTTTTATTGTGTCCTCCAGGCTAATAACCTCTGGACAATTTAAGAATGTCATTTAAGATCAAAATCCATTGATTTTGCTCTATATGCACTGGAGTAGGGTAGTTTTGATTATAGCTGTCAAGAAGTGAATCCACATCCAAAATGGTAATATGCTCATCTAGACTACCATGTGGATCTCCATACCAGCAATATAGTCTTAATTATTACCCTCAAATTTAGCCCTTTTCCCCCTGCCATCACCCTGTAAGTCTCTGACTCTGTTATCTGCACACATTCTAGGGCACCCATCTTTACCCTTCTGTGGGCTCAAGCCATAATTTAGTTAATTTAGGTACCCCACCCTTTCCTGTCCTGGGCTCAGGGTATAAGGCACCCAACTTTACCCCTCCATGGGTTCTGGGTTCTACTGCTTTCATCCCTGGTCTCAGAGGAAGGTGGGTGTAATACAGCTAGTGCTCACCTCATCAGGCCTGACTGTCAGAGCTGGGGGCAGAGACAGGAGACGGCTGCATCCTGTAGTGGAGCAGCAGTGTTGGGGTTTAGACAGGAAGTCCCACCCACTGCTTGTTTCTCACTGGACAAGGGGTGGGGCTTGGGACAGAGTCGGTAGCAGGACTTCTGACTTGTTCTGATTGGTGAGGCAGAGGGGTTGATGGGTGGGTCAGAAGAGCTGTCACAAGCCCGTTCACACGATGATCCCCATTTTCTCCCTTTCTGTCTCCTGCAGCTTGTGGAAGTGCGGTGTCACCGACACTGGCTCTGGGGATCTTGCTGCTGTTCTCAGAATCAGCCAGTACCTGACAACGCTGGAGCTGGGTTATAATTATCTGGGAGTTTCTGGAGTGCGGCTGCTGTGTAAGGGACTGAAACATCCAAACTGCAAATTAGAGAGTCTGCGGTAAGTAACATTTAGCCTCCTTTATGCATTTACGGGTGTCCTTTATGTAAAGTGCTCAACAGGGCACGTAGCTGGTCTCTGCTCTCTGCAGTTACAATGAGAATCTGAAAACCAAGTGTCTCTCCAGCACTTGCATGAAGGACTCACAATATGTGCCAAGCCTGCTGTATTTGGGAATGTAAATCTAGCTGGGCCCAACCAAGACAACTAACTCCACAGCCCCTTGGTATAAGTTTTAAAACAAACTTTTAATTAAAATGCATTTACTAAAATGCACTCTGACCCTTTAGCTTGCAACCTACTTTTTAAGTCATTTTAATGACTTTTGACATTTTAATTCTCATATAAAACGAATGAAAACAAAAGAGGCTCCAGGACACTGAGGATTCTAATCCACACATAGTGGCCCCTGCCTTTGAGGTTTCCAGGGCTGGGGCTGAAGCTGGTGTCTGCTCAGAAACAGCACCAATTTCATGAAATATCCTTTGAAGTGCAGCCTGCTGGGAGTGAGGTTGTGTGTTTACAGTTACCAACAGAGCAGGCTGGAGCAGATGCCAGTGCTGGACTCCTTGTATTAAAAAAAAAACACCTTTGGGGAAAGCTGTGGCTCTTCCTTTTTCAATTTCAACACATTTCTGCTTCTTTCTTCTCTCAAGGCAGAAGGCCCATCCATGCCTGTGAGATCCAGGGAAACTCTGTGGACTTGAGGCCAGATTTTCAAAAGAGCTCAAGATTCAGCAGCTCCCACTATGACAATTCTGCCCAGATTTTCAGAAGACTTGAACCCTGGAAATTCAGCTCTCCTGAAAATCTGCCCCAAAAGTACCAGCAGAGTGAACAGCAAAATCAACATCCTTTTGCAGCAGCTCTCCACCGTTGGGGTTAATGCCCTTAACCTCTAATGACTGGCCCCCCCATTCTCTCCCAAGAACATCAGACGCACTGCCTGAAGGGCTGAGGTGCTTCTGACGCCATCTATCCTCAACAGCCCTCAAGCAAGGCCTCAGAGCTCTGCTTGGCAGTTTGCAGATGGATAGGACACATCTCAGGGCTGTTTGTTTTCTTCTTTTATTCCCACTATCAGTGATGTTTAGCCTCTTCCTTCTCTCTTGATGATGAGCAGGTGCCACTCCCCATTACACACCCTCCAGAGGAGAGAACATACCAGCTGCACTCAAAGACTCCCTGGGTCAGTGATTTCCCTGCTCATAGCAACCACCACCACATGCACTTTCCTTTCCTCCACCCCATGCTCTAGGAGTCACCACTGGGCTCCATTTCCCCCGCCCAGTGCAAGTGCAGCTTCCTGTTCCCTCCCGAGGAGTGAAACCTACAGATCACTGGTTCCTCACTGCAATAGGTGACAGGAGATGCAGCTGTTCCAGGACACTTCACTGGTAATCAGTGACTGATAATTCTTCTCCCCATTCCATGGACTCGCAGAGAGTCTTACAGTGATGGTGGTTCCTCTTCCTTGTGATAGTTGCCCCTTCTGTCCTTCATACGGTGTAGGAGGGTGAGGGATTAGTAACTCACTGTTGGGGGTATGGGGAGGGAAGACACACAGCTGAAGGATGTCTGCTTCACTGCTATATTGCTCTGAGAGATCTGCTATGAGATCTAATATCCCATGAAATAGTCTCCAGATGGAAGCTCCATCACTTGGGACGTCTTAATTCTCTACTAGACAACTCACTGGAACACACATTGCAGAGAGCAATCCTGCACTGGCAGGGGGAAGTACTAGGTCAACTAATAGGGGTGGCATGTGAGCCTGGTTCAGTGCTCCTTCCTACCCCTCCCCATGTTGTGGCTGTAATGTGCTGCAGAGAAGGGGTTCTCTGTAGAAAGTGGAAGTGACAGCTCACTCCCCACCATCACCCGCCGAACCTTGATTGACAACAGCCCCAAAAAGACATATGAGGTCTGCAAATCACCGACCAGGCAAGTTGCTGGTTATGAGGAGTGTGGTGATGTACTGCCCAAAGGTTAAATTTAGATAGGAATTGGCAGATCAAGGTGTGTAGGGGGCAGGGTTGGATGCGGGGAATGTGGTGTACTTTCAGAAAGGTCTGTATCCCATAGAAGACTGAGTGTTGGTTGAAAGAGAATGAAAGTCAGGAAAGAGGGATGGAGAAATGGGGATGTAGCGTGAGGAGGAGAGAGCTCACACACAGAAAAGAGACCAGGATGGGGTATTGACAGATGGGCAGCTTTTCCCCGTTAGGGGCTAGAAGACAGGACTTCTTAGAGGTGTGATGTAGGTATAGTGTATTGTTTGTAACACAAAGATGTTTAATTTTGTGAGATGGCAATTTGCATAGTTCTAGGCCCAGCCAAGTGACAAATAATAAGCTGAATTTGGGGAGTTGAGGTAACAACAAAGTCCTGAGCTATCAGAGCACTTGGGATCAGTGCAGCTCCCTTCACTGGGCTAGTCAGCAGACTCCTACCCCTTCCTACTTCCTTACAACATACGGGAAAATTTTTATTTTGCTTACCTGAGTTACCGAGTAAATCACAGAAGGCAAAAGATCCCCTGAGTTTCGGGGCTGTAACAGCCAATCTCTCTGGCATTTTTTGATGGGTCAGATTTTTGGGTCTTCTCCTGGAAAAATGGGACCAGCACAGCAAGTTCATCCATTTAACTGGTTTGGAGAATAACAGGGCATGTAGGAACCAGCTGCTTATTCTGCTGCAGCTGGAAAGTTCCCATCTCAGGTTATTCTTATAGAAGCACTTGGGACTCCTGTGTACTGTGTAAATGGACCCTGTCTCCTTGTGCCAAAGCCAGGGAATAGGTCTCAACCTTTTTATTATCCTGTCCAAGTGGGAAGAACAAAACAATACAGGTCTCACTAGTTTATTGTTAGCCCAAACCATAGGTGCCTCCTTCCTTTGGGGAGGAGAATATACTATTTACACATCAGGATACCCCAGTATGCACAGCTCCCCAAAACACTGGTCCTGGCTTCTCCCCTCTCCCCAAATCTTTCTGTAATGCTGTAAAAACACGTTTACATCTTCAGATACTTACCAGCGGGGCGTCATATGCTGTAGGGCAGTTGCCCTTTTGGACTTTTCATAGGTCTATATGCTCTATTATGTCTTCCACTCCCCACCTCCACGACTTTGTATGATATAATATAACCACATATAATGTTCTATATGTTGACACAGTTTCACCCCCCATCCCCTGAATGTTTCTGAGATAAGGCCCCTGCTGACTAGCCCTGCTCTCTAAGTTCCCACAATGGCTGCCTCAGACTTTCCACAACACACTAAGGGATTGTTCATCCTCTTTGATAAAGGGTGGCCAGTGTTTTCAGGATATGCGGGATGACAGTCTGTTGCGTGAACTGAAAAATACAAGGGAAGTGCAAAGCTGTGAGAATGGCTTGTTTTGTTGTGTCCTCCAGGGTACTAACCTCTGGACAATTTAAGAATGTCATTTAAGATCAAAATCCATTGATTTTGCTCCCAAAGTCCTTTCTTTGTCTGTGGGTCCCTGAAGATGGAGTGCAGAGGGGATCTCTCCCCCACACACACACACGGGTATGTGTGTGCGTGTGTGAAAGGGAATCTCTCTCTGATACACACACACACACACACACACACACACACACACACACACACACACAGAGGGCAGGGAAGTGTAGGGGGTCTCTATCATACACAAAAACAACAAGGAGTCTGGTGGCACCTTAAAGACTAACAGATTTATTTGGGCATAAGCTTTCGTGGGTAAAAAACCTCACTTCTTCAGATGCATTTTGTGGATACAGACTAACACGGCTACCCCCTGATAGTTGATATCATACCCAGACTCCTACAGTGCTGATTATCAGTTACTCCTGTGGGGAAATAGAACAGGGGGGCCTTCTTTTTAATAGCCAAAGCTGTGAATCTGAAGGCCCCGAAATAAACCCTCCAACAGAGATCTGTTATACTGACTACCCTTACACAGAGCAGTACAGGCCTAGCCCTGAGCAAGACTGAACAACACAGTTCTCTGCCAAACTCGGTCAAGGGTAATGGCCAGAGGAGGGGGGAGAAAAAAAACAAAGAACAATGCTAAAGGCTACAACAGAAACTGCTTTAGCAATATAATAACCGCAAGTTTATGAAATATAATAATAACCGCTTGTTTACGAAAACAGAATATCCGCTTACATTAAGAAATTGCTTTGCAAAGGGCTGATCACTCTTGCAGTTGCAGCTATCTGCAAACTTTCCAATTCCAGCTATCTGCAAAACTAGCCAATCATAAATCTTCTTTAGGCGTCCCATAGTAACCCCCTTAACCGTAAAACCCCGGAAAATAACATGTACCTTGCCGAGAAATGTACCCAAACTGGTGCCAAGTACCACCCCTGGGGGAAAACCACCAAACGCCCCTGTACCCAAATAAAACACCCAATTCTTGGAAAAATAATGAGGAAGGTACCGGGAAGGGGGGACTGACCCCAACCCCAATTTCTTAACTCATGACGTATTGTTTGTACTTTGCTTGCGGTTTAATGAAATAAAAGCCGCCTGCGAGCGGTCCTCGGGGTGTCAGTTTTCGAACTGCACCCCAAACACGTTTGGTACGTATTGCAATAAAGGCCTCAGGCTCTGAGTCTGTGAACTAAAATCAGTGCGTGGGTGATTCTTTCTACGACACTCCCTAAACAGTTGTCCCTAAAAACCTAATTTTGCTCCAGCCTGAAAACAGTCAAAGTTTTATCAAATTTGAGTGAGTGGCACTGGGACCCCATGCACCAGGTCACAACGCCTGGATCTGGGAGCTAGACAGCCTTGCAGGATTGGAGTTGCTGCTGCAGGTGAGTGCATGGTGGGCTTTACACCCTCGAGGGCCTCTCATCCCCAGGGGCAGGCCATGATCCCCAGGGCCTCCCATGAGCCCCTTTGACACATTCTTACAGGTTGAAATGCTCAGAACATAGGATTTATACAACAAATTCTTAAGTACTATATTTTAATATTTGTTGCATTTA